ACTTTATATAAATGTTATAGATGTATAAAATGCGTCCTTTTTTCCTCCCGCTGCAGTTTTTTATGGCTGCCCAGGGTCGGCAGGACTGTGCCTTGTCACACAGACCCCCGGGCAGAGCAAACGTCCGTGAACTCTGCACCCTCCCGGCAGGGCTGCCCCGTGCTCTCCGCGCTGAAAAGCGGCTCCTGCCTCTCTCGCTCCTCTCTTCCCCGGCCCGGGGCTTTTTTCTTTTTTAACCCCAAATAATTTTTCAAAGCATCCCCCCTTGCGGGAGCGCTGAGTGCCGGCCCTGGGGAGCGCTGGCCGGGCTGCAGAGCCCCGGGCGTGACCCCGGCCCCGCTCCCCGGGCCGAGCCGGGCCCGTCTCGGGGAGAATTCATTCCAGGCTGAACTTTGTGTGAACCTGGGCCCGAGGGGAAGGGAACCCGCCAGAGCAAGGCTGATGGAGGCAAGTTCTGAGCAAACCCATCAGGCTGAGTAAATATTGAAGGAGCCCACGTGAAGGCCGGGGTTGAAATGGAGCTGTCAGGGCAGTGTAAACTGAAGGGATGGGTGAGGCCTCTGAAGAGCGAGGAAACCTTCTGGGCACTCACTCCAGCAATTGTTCCTTCCACCCCAGCCCTTTGCCCCAGACCTCGTTTCACCTGCCTGAGAGGCCAAAACAGCCCTGAAGCAGCTCGGTGCTGAAATATCTGTGTTGGGGGAAGCAAAGGGGTGAGCAAGGGGACAGCACTGCGGGGTGGCCCCTTCGGTGGAGAGAACCAGGACCCTACAGCTGGGGTCAGACTGCAGGCAGCACATCCAGGGCCTCCTGGACTTAAATCCGGGTGACCTGTCCAGCATCAATCCTGAAGAATAAATATACTCTATATTTGATACACACACAAGTGAAATACACTGTCTATAAACACGTATAACCCAAATAAACACATATATAATCCAAATAAACACATATATAACCCAAATAAACACATATATAACCCAAATATATGCCCAGCTCCCACGATCTAGCCCAATGGTGCTGGGAAGGGGAGGTCCCTGGGGATGAGAAGGGGCTGTTGGATGTGCCAGTGGGGATCTGGGGGCAGCTGCACTCACCCAGCTCCTCCCACAGCTGCAAGTCCCTTGCCTGGTTCTCCAGGGATTTTAGTGACACTCAGTAATATGTCCGTGCCAAATTATGGCAAAAACTTAGCGGGCAGGAAAATCCTGCCTGGTTTACCTGGTTGAGGGTGAATCCCTTGGCAGTGTCGGGGTGGGAGCAGGTGCACGGGCACCCTCCTGCCTCGGGGCCACTCGCAGGAGATGCATCAAACTCTGGCTTCGGTTCTGACTCACCCACCGTGGGATGGAAACATCTCCCGCTCATCTCGCCCTGGTTCTGCTGAGAGCTGGGGGAAGGGGTGGCCTCTGACCCATTTTGGGGTGTGAAACGAGTCTGGAGAAACCCCAAAGCCTTCCTCCCCTCTTCTCCTCCACTTCGAGGCTTCAAAGGCTTTTAGGGCCGGTGACAACCCAACCCGGCCACAGCCGAGCCACTGAGGGGGAGGTTTTGTCCCCAGACAGAGACCCCCGGGAGAGCTTCACACCTTCGGTGCAAAGAGGCTCCGGGAGCAGTTCAAAGCAGCCACCAAAGTGGAGTTGAAAGTGAGGAGGTCTTCCGGGTATTATTATTATTATTTTTTAATAGAATGTCCTCTCCCGAGATCAAAAGGGCCTCACGTTGTGAGAACAAACGCTTTGGGGAGAAGAGAAACATTTCACACCGAGGGGTAGAGGAACAGATGGCCCCGGAGGAGCTCCTCGGGTCTCTGCTCCGGGAACAGGGACAGAGGAGAGGGACTCTCGGTGTCCCTTCCCCGTCCCCTCCTCCTGCAGAGGGACAGCAGCTCCAGCCCGGTGACTGCCGTTAATAATTTACATTTCTCTAACTGGGAATTTCTCCTTCCTTTGGGATATTAAAAGAATAAATCTCCATTAAGACGTGGCTTTGTGTGTGAGTGTAATACGGGGGGACTTGGCTCGTTTTCCTGCCCATGAAAAATGCAATAGCAGGGACCCACGGACAGGCACGTGGAGATAGGGGAATATCTGGATCATAAACAGCCACGGGGTTGTGCATCATTTATATATGTAAAAAATAATAAAAAAAAAAAGACTGTGTGTAGACCTCATATTTGTGATAAAGCCCAAAGGATCTTTCTGTGTCCCACATGGACACACAGGTCCCTGTGTGGGGACCGAAGCACCGGGGCTCGCTCTCCATCAGCTCCGGGTGCGGGACAGCCACGAGTGTCCCTCAGCTCCTCACAGGAGCATCGGCCGAGGGACCCGCGGGTGTCCTGGCGTGGCCTTTCCAGCCGGCTCCTGCTTCCCAGCGGTGGGTTTGGGGCTCCTGAGACAAAAGGGAGCGTGAGAAACTTGGAGGGAGAGCAAAGGGGGAAAAAAAAAGAGATTAGCTGTGTGCGGTGCTCGTTGTTAGAGAAACACGGCTGGGCAGCCAGGGGAGCCCCCGGGGGGGGTTCCATATGTAAGGGAGCAGCGGCCCCGGCTCTGAGGGCTCTTCCGGAGACTCCCTTTGAGTTTCAAATGGGACCCTGGAGCCTTTGTTGTGCCCGACACACTGACACAGCAGTTCCCCTCCTTTTCATCCCGGCCTTGCCGCTCTCCCCCGGCCCTTCCGAGGCCGGCGCTGCCCGTCTCACCTGGGAGCGAGCAGATCCCGGTCCTAGAGCCGCTCCTGGGCCCGGTGCCGGTGCCCTGTGGGAGCAGAGCAGGGCACAGAGACCCACCGGGGTGAAAATGGTCTCAGTGGAAAGGCACGAGGTTCCCGAGACACGACGCCCTTGTTTCCATGAGCCAGCTGAGACCACACAGGGTCAACGAAATCTTCCATCGCCTTGGTCCCACCAACAGGTTAAACCAAGCCGGCTCCCCTCCAAAAACAGGTTTTAAAGTCCGCTTTAGCCGCTCGGGAGTTTTGTTGGTTTGGTTTTTTTTCTCTCCTGGCGTTTCGCACAAAATCCTCGTTTCGCGTTTCCCCCCTCCACTTCCCCCCCCCCCCCCCCCCTCTCTCCGAGCTAATTGGACACTCAAAAACCTTTTCTTTGGAGCAAAAGAAGTGTGTTAGACGGGGGTAAGATTTTATCGGGGGGACAGAGCGATGCCCCAGGGCCCTGCAGAGGAGCCGGGACGCGGGGCCGGGCTCGGCAGGTACCTCGCTCATTCCTCTCCCCCCCTCCCGCCCCCACCGAAAAGGTTTGCAAATTTGGCGAAGCCAGAACAATAGTTCCTCCTGGTAGCCCCTCTGTTTACTTGTTTGGAAATCCCAGAGGCGTTTCGAGGTAAAAAGGTCAGAGCTGTACCGGGCCCGCTGCCTCCTCCCGCCCCGCCGGGCTCCGTCCCCCCCACGAGCTGCTCTCGTGTGTTATTCATGCGGGGAAAACACCCTTTCCGGGGTCGCCTGGGGAAGCTGAAGGGAAGAACCCACACTGACGCTTCGTTTTGGTTTGGAGCCCTATAAACTTTCCGTATAAACGCTCCGTATAAACGAGAAACTCGCTCTGCCCCCACCCCGAACCCCGAGTCCGCCCCAGTTGCTGTCGCTGCTTCAGTGCCGCCTATTCCTTCTGAGGATGAGGATGATTTTCCCTTCTCTTCAGGCCTCGTTACCTCGGGAAATAACTCCGAGAGAAGCGGAGTTTCCATCCGCTCCCGACGGGGCCAACTGGGCTTCGAGAGCTCCCGCAGCGCCGGGCCCGATCCTGGCGGTGCCGGGGGGGGATCCGGGGGGTACCGCAGGAAGCAGGATCGGTCCCTTTGTTTGGGAGCTTTGGCAGCAGCCGGAGACTTTTTCCTTCCTCCTTCTCCTCCCTCCAAGCCCAGGTTCCCCCCGCCCCGCGTCCCGCACTTCCCTGGAAGGGGAGAGATTTCCATTCCGTTAAAATCGGCAGGACTTCCATGTGGAAAAAGTAAACTTTATTAGGCTGAGGTAGTTTCATTTCGGGATACAGAGCACGGGGAGGGGAGCGGAGGGGAAATGGGAGATTCCAGTTAAGAAACCGCTGGTTTTCCTCGATGACGTTTTTCCCTTTAAAACAATTTTTAACAAACAGTCACCCCGGTTTTTTCACTTCGTCCTACCCTAAAACTTCTCACGGGGGAGGGAAAACATTTCGCCGTGGTTAAATAGTGGGTTTATCTGACTCCGATAAGCCTAAGAGGGTGGGGGCGCGAGGAACGTGCTGCTCCGCTCCGAGACTTCAGGTTATCGAGAGGGACAATAAATAGCAGCCAGTGCATCAGTGCAACCTTGTTCCCATCCACCTTCACACCTCCTGCGACGGTGACCGAAGCACCCCGAGGGCAGCCTTGGCCTCACCTCGTTTGCTCTGATAACCCGACCCTCCCTCCCCCAGGAGCAGCAGCAGTCACCGTCGCGGAGCGTGTGGAAAAACCCTGTATAAAGCAGAAATAGTGCAAAATGGTAGCAGAGGAGCTGCATTTTTTTTTTTTTTGCTTGGTGTTTGGGTCTTTGCACAGGCCTCGAGCATCTCGGGCGCCTCAGATCTCATTCCAAGATATACACACAGCAAATAACAAGGAGGGGGAAAAAAAAAAGAAAAAGTACCCAAAACTTTTTTTTTTTTTTTACGGCCTGGCGAGGAGGAAAAACGCATCAAACGTGAGATTCGTGCGGGGAGAAACCGTCGTGCGCGGTTTTTTAAGACGGGAGAGAACTAAATTCGTTTTCAAATTTTCTGTGGTCGAAAGTGCCGTTCCTAAAGGGCGGAGGGGAGAAGGGAGGGGGAGAAACGTCCCTGAGACAAAACCGCCTATTGCTGAGGATACAGGAGGACACGGCCGCTCCTTTGGAGTCCAGTGTTTTTGCAGAGGGTCTATAAATTAAGAGAGAGAGAGACGCGAGTGGGAAAATCGGTGTCACCCGCGCGGGGAGCCGAAGGGATGCTCGGAGGGGCTGTGCGTGGGAGGCTCCTGGTCCTGCCCTCGAGGGCAGAGCTCTGTGGCCCCGCGGGACGCGTTTCAGGAGGACACGGAGCTGGGGGAGGCCTCAGGTGAGGTGCAGTTGGACTGATCCGAGGCTTCGCCCGCTTCCTTCGCGGACCTGGAGGCGGCAGCCGGGGCGAGACCTTCCTTTTCCCTCTTCTTCTGCTTCATCCGCCTGTTTTGGAACCAGATCTTGACCTGGGTTTCGTTGAGCTCCAGGGTGGCGGCGATCTCCACCCTCCGGGCCCGGGTGAGGTACTTGTTGAAGTGGAACTCCTTCTCCAGCTCCGTGAGCTGCTTGGTGGTGAAGTTGGTGCGGATGGCGTTGGGTTGGCCCAGCAGTCCGAACTCCGACACTTTGGCTGTGAACGACCAAACAACAACAGGGCAGGAGCGGCCGGAGGAACCCCCTCTCTGGGGCGGGGGGGCTCTCCCCCGCTCCCCTCCTCTCCGGGGCGTTTGGTCCCTCCACCGCCCGCAGCTTCGTGTTCCCTCCCGGCTCCTCACATCTCCCGGCCTGGAGGGACGGAGCTCCTCGGGCTCTTCCCTTGGAACCATTCCCTCCATCTCCCTGAAAACTGCGTGAGACCAAACTGAGCGGGAAGGGGTGGAAGGGGAGGGTGGAGGTGATGATGGGAGAGGAGGAGGGAAGGCCGTGATTTAAGGAAGGTCGTGGAGAAGGAAGTTGAACAATAGGGGAGATGGAAACCACGGCTGTGGAAGGAGCAGGAAGCCCGGAGCGCTTCCCATTCCGGGATGGGCTTAAATCGCTTTGGGCCTGCGGGAAACTGGGCTCAGGGACCGTCTGGGAAATCTCTGGCTGGGATTTAAAAAAAAAAAAAAAAAACAACCAAAAAACCCCACAAAACCAAACACACCCAAACCAAACCAAATCCACGTTCTCATGGAAGACGAGCCCAGTCACCTCGGGTACAGATCCCAGGGAAGGCAACCTTTTCCTGGCAGGGCCGAGGAACTGCCCCCCACCTCCCTCTCGGGTGGGGACCCCCTCGCCGCGCTCCTCTCCCCCCAAACTCACCTGTCTTGGGCGGGTTCCTCTTCACCCTCATCCAGTCGAAGGTCTGCGCGGCGCCGGGGCCCGGCTCGGAGGGGCACGCGGGGTCTCGCTCCTCGTTTAGAGAAGGCGAGAGGTTGCCGTAAACGCCGGGCAAGTAGCCGGGCTGCTCCTGCCCGTAAAGGTGCTGCTGCTGGTACTGCCCCGCGGCCGCCACCGCCCCGCAGTAGCTCTCGGCCAGGGAGCCGAGGCCGGAGGTCCCCCCGGGGGGGTACCCGGCCGCCTGGAAGTACAGCCCGTCCGCGTCCTGCTGGCCGAGGTAGAGCTGGTGGTGGCCGTAGCCGGGGCCGCCGCTCTGGGCCGGGTACCCGGGGCTCGGGGCAGCGCCCGCGAAGGGCCCGGGGCGGCCGGAGGAGGGAGGGTGGTAGCCGGGGGGCTGCTGGGCCGCGCTCCCTCCCGCTCCGAAGCGCCCGTCTCCGCTCAAAGTGTCACTGGCGGGGCTACCTGAGCACGAGGGGAAGGAAGGGGAGCTCGGCTCTAAGTGGTGGTAGGCGCCCGTCCCACGGTTACAAATTGCATACTCTAAGAAGGAGTTCATCCTGGTATTGTCCATCTGCCACTGATGGAGGAGGGTCAGCCTGTTTTGGGGGGGATTCCGCCTGCCCTACAACCTTTGGATAGTATGTCAAAGCTGTAAAACTTCCTTCCATGGATCGCCGGCCCTCGAACCCCGGCAGCCTTCGGCGGGGCCGGGGGGGAGCCGCGGGGGCGGGCGCGGCGTCGGCCCAGCCCAATGAGCGAGGGGCTCCCGAAGTTTGTCGCATCTCCGAGCTCATCCATCAAGGGCCTGACATTTGCATGACAAAGGGGTTTCAATCAAACCCTGCCCATCAATCTGATAACAACACGAATGCGTCAAAATCTTTCCTCAAAGACTTTAAAAGAGAGGAGGGAGGTGGGGTGCGGGGAGGTGGAGGGCAAGAGGGGCTGAGGGGGAAGAATTAGAATTATCCGCAACTGTTTTAAGTGCTAAAAAGGCCCCCGAGATATGCGGTGAGCCCATTTCGGCAGAACTTCCCCTCGCCCCGACTTGAAAAGGTTTCCCCCAATCCCAGTTTCGTGTGAGAAACAAAAAATAAAAGCAAAAAGAAGAGGGAAAGGGGATAGGGAGGTGTGAGCGCTCTGTCCCCCCAGGCACAAAAGGATGCTCTTTTATTGGCTTGGAAACTTTTCCCTAGAAAGCGGCTTGGCGTTTTCTGGGATGAGGAGTCCAAGAAAAGCTCCCGAGAAAAATACTCCCCATATGTTTTAATTTTGCCGCACCAGCTTTGTGTCTCGGGCCAGCGCGGGTAAAAGCAGCGTAATTAGATCAATATTCTAATGAGGCGACGAAATAAAGTTAGGAAGACGGAATGTCTTTTGTTGGAGAAATACCATGCCCGGCTTAGCAATTAAGGAATGGGGCTAAAAATGATCCGTGTGTCCGTCTCCGGATCTTCCCGTCCATCCATCCACCCGTTCACCCGCACGCTCACTGCTAAAGCCAAGGTTTTAAGGGTTTAAGCAATTCTGGAACATCAAGCTCTGCTTTTCCACGGCAAATTTCGTTTGATCTTGCCCCGAATTTGTTGTCAGGCCGGAGCTTTCTCCTGGCGGGGTCCAGCTGAGGAGTAGGTGGGCAGACACTGCCTTCAGCCGGGCCACTCCACTGCCCAGAGAATGGAAACATAGGTAGGCAACATTTATTTACTTGTTAGCAGAAGGGAGACAAGAGCACCCAACAATATGACGCCCACAGTCATTTGTTACTTGTCAGGATATTTACTGGTTATTCAACCTCCAAGAAGGACCAGGAGGGCTCTTTCTCTCCCTCTCTCTTTCTCTCCCTCTCTCTTTCTTTTTTTTTTTTTTTTTTTTTTTTTTCCCCCAGGCCAAAAGTTCACTTTGAAAGGCAAAACCACGTCTCCTTCAGCGGGAGAAGGTTTGGCTGATGCAACACGTTGGGGTAACATTTGTTGAGAAACTGCAAAACTGCAACACAAGCAGCCGTGGCATCAAACTTCGTCCCTCCTGTAAATCCCCCCGAGAGAAAACTTGAGTTTTAGCCAATTACAACCCTCGTCTTTCAATAAAAAGAATAAGAAAACCGTTTCCAGAGCTGCGTGTCTATTTATTCATTTATTCTGCCGACTTTGCTGATGCTGAGAGACTCAAGAAGAGAATATCTTAGGTTACAAATGATCTCGGAGACTCTCTGCCTCCTTCTTTGCATAAAACAACCCAAAGTGAATATAAAGATTCAAAGCAACTCTCATGTCGTTCCCCCTCGCAAGAGAAATCGATTTCTAATTTGATTCCAGGAGTGCTTTTTATATTATGTTGCACTCGCGTTCAAATGGATGTATTATATTTAAACGATGCTTCCAATGGATGATTTATGGCTGTAAAATGAAAAAAGAAAAGGATAGATGTTTATTTCGCCCTCGAATCAATTGTTTCGTATTGTCTGATAATTTTCCACCCTGATCTCCCTCCACTTGTTCCATCAAGGGGATGCTTTATGTCGTTAAAACCCGGCTGCCTCCTGGAGCTGCTGGATTAGCTCCGAGACGACTCGGGAGTTGTGGAGGGGAAAGTTTTGCTGTGCAAACTCTCAGTGAAGCCTAAACCGAGGTTTAGAAACAGTTTCCTTGGTAAATGGAAAGATTGGATCGGACGGGGTCAAAATTTTAGGCAGGACAGATCTTCGGGCTCCTCCTCTGGAGCCGCTCCGGCCCCGACTTTGGGCACAACGAGAGGGGGGTGTGGGAGTGGAGATGGAGCTGAGGAGGGGATGTGTGGGGCTGGAGGCACTTTGGGAAAGCCTTTTCGGTCCCTCTGAGGGGGTGACCATCAGCTGACGGCCGATGGGATGTGGAGGAGGAGAGGGAGCGGAGGAGGGGAAGGGCAGGGCCGGAGTCATTTCGGGAAGGGCCGGTTCGGTCCCTCTGTTTCGGTGCCCGTCAGATGACGAAAGATGGAACCTTGGAGCCGATCCCCTCCCAGAAAGGGGCCTCCACCTTCTCCCCCTCGCTGCCCCCGGCGCTGCGGGGCCCTCGCCATCTGCTCCTCTCCGCGGCCTCTCACACCCCTCGGGTTTTACCTGCCGGGGGACCCCGGGCAGAGAAACCCGGGCACATTCCAGGGGGGCAGCGGGATGGAGGGTGCCGCCTTCCCAGCTCCCCCTTCCCAGGGCTTCCAGGCTGCTGGTTTGCACCCCCTCACTCCCTTTCCCACCTGTTCTTGCCCAAAAACACACGGCTTGGGACGGGAAAGCCGCCAGCACCAAAGGGCGTGCAGAGACACCGGGAATCGCTTGGGAATCGCCTTCCCAAATTTCCTTCCTAGACCCTTGCCCTGGATCCGGCAGCAAATTACCGATGTTGTTATTGTGGTTATTGGTATTGGTCTTAATTCCCCTGACGGGGAAAGTGTGAATCTGTCTTTGGTTCAGAGCTTCAGAACCCACAGAAGAAAGAAATATCAGGTTATTGTTAACGATCAAACACTGCCTGAGCCTAATTCTGCCGTTTACACATTTATTTCTTTAAATCCTCCTTTATGGGGAATTGAGAGAGTGAAGACGGTCAAAGAAAAGTTGTAGATGGAGTTTCTCGAATTATTAGGGCTCCGTCCTACCCCTTCCTTAGCCTTTCGTTTATTTATTACTTGATTTTCGCTTATTTCTTGAGGGAGGCAGTCTTTATTCCCACACGGTTTGGGGGATGCTGCTGCCTTTCACCCAACAGGAATAAAACAAAATATCTGGAGGTTGATGAGGATAAAACGGGAGCGGGATAATTTTAAGCTCTTTGATGCCTGGAAAAAGAAGCTGCGCTGTCCCGGAGCGTGGTGGGACAGGCCATGGGAGGCAGGGAAGGGATCTCTGGTCCAGATCCCTTCGCACGGAGCTGCTTCCCCTCTTCCCGACAGCTGATGCGGCCTAAAAGCGCTTCGGGAGCTCCCGCCCCTCAACCCCGGGCTTTGATCCATGGGCAGATGAGGATGAGGAGGTCAGCAGCGGCAGAACGTGGGTTTTCCCAGGAGTTCTTGGTGGCGGAGACGTCTCATGCCCACCCAAGACACCCCTTTGGCCCCTCCGGCCGCTCCGGGCGCGGGGACTCGCGGGGACAAAACCTGAGGCAGGTTCGCTGTCCCGGGGTGGAAACTCAACCACATCCCCTCGCTGCTAAATTAGCAAAGGGGGTCTTTTGCTCCCCGCCTTTTGTTCCGACCCGATGGAGGCATCTTATTAAAATAAACCTTTTTTTTTGAGAGCGGTTTCTCCCCTCGAGGGGCACAGAGCGACTCCAGGAACCTCGGGGCTGCTCCAGCCTGGGAGGGAAGAGCAAGGGAAACCTCTCCCTTCCCTAAAAGCTGCTTTATTTGCTTTCAAACCCCTCTCCTGACACGGGGGATCGTTCCCCTCCCAAACCAGTTTGTGGGAAAAAAACCCGTAAGAAATCTTCACCCGAGACAGACCCGGGAGGTTTTTTGTGCAGGCAAAAGGCAAAATGATGCATTTCCAAAGGCTCTGGAGCTCTCGGAGCCTTGAGATGCTTCGTTTCGGATTTAAATATAACTCTCTGCGGAGAAAGTTCGTGTCGTGCGTAAGAAATGTCACTTGTGGCTCCTGGAGGGGTGATTTATAGGGAGCGGGGCTGGGGCTGAGCTGCGTGTTTGGCTGCGGACTTGGAATCACCAAAAGGACTCGTCCCTGGACATTCCCAGAGAAATTTATAGCCCCGGCTCGTGTCTTGGTCAGCTCATAACCTGCTGAGCTATATTTGGGGGGAAAAAGTGAAAATCGAATGGGAAAACGCTCCCGGAGCTCGGGAGTGCGAAGACGGGCAGAAGGAATCCTTCTAATGGGTTACAAACCCCGAGTTATCTCCGAGCTGGAGAATAAACACGACATAATTAAGATAAGATACAATAATTCTTATCTGTGGTTCTCGGGGGCGGGGAGGGGACCGGCAGGGTCGGGGACCGGCAGGGTCGGGGTGGGGACCGGCCCCGGGGACAGTCCACAGGTGGTCAGCATCTCCCAGAGGGGATGGGAGGCTTGTCAGCCGGGGATAGGGACGTGCCTCGTGTTCTTGGTCTCCCGCACAACATTTTGAGCGGAAGATTGGGTGAGAAATGCCTCTTTCGATTGTTTTGGTTTTTACCCTTTTCGGAGTGGCACAACCCCCTCAAACCCCGCCTCCTTCTGCGCCGAGAGATCAAATTCCTCGTCCGACGGCTCGGGGAAACCCGTCCTGTGTCCCTGTTTCTGTGCGGTCCCCAGGGCAGAAGTGTGGCTGTCACCCGGGTCGGCCCCTTAATGAGCTTCATTTAAGCTTTTCTACTGGGTGAGAGCGGAGAGGTTTGTAACTGGGGGGGTCCCAAACCCCTCGGGTTTCACTCAGATCCAGCACTGGCAGGCCCTGCTGGACTCGCTCCTTAAACCCTCCCTTTAACAAGGCCACGAATTTATCAACATCTTCATCGATATTGCTAATATTGGTGGGCCGACACTATTAATTATTAATATCCTGTAAGCAGGATCCCGCTGGGGACGAGAACTGGATCCAACTCTACGAATCTTAAGTTGCTTTCTTCAGACAGTTTCTTCTTTCTCTATATTTTCCCCTTCCGTGTATATAAAGAGGGGGGAAAAAATAACCGGGCTGGACGCGGGAAGTTCCGGGATGGCGAGGAAGGGAAGGTTCTCTCTGCCAACTCCTTCTTTTGTTGGTGGTGGGAGAACTCCTCAAATCCCGGCGGTTGAGGGCTGGGAAGTGCTGGAAAAGGATGCTGAGAAACCAGTCCCGGGAGGGATATTCCCGGATATTCCCGGGGTCTGGCTCAGGAGGAAGGTCGGGGCGATTCCCCGGCAGAAGTTGACTGCTCCCACCCCAAAGGTCCCACTCCTGCCTCGCTGCCTCGCTCTCAGAAGGTTTTCCCGGCTCTAACGGGTTGGTTCAACATCTTCAGGGCTTGGAGAGGCTCTTTAGCAAACACATCCCCAGACTAGATCAGCACAAAATAAATATTACCTCAGCGCGCCCGCAACACGTGCCGGCTCAGCTCATTTGCATATTCCTGGGTTAATAATCGCGAGGCAATTGCGGTGTTTTGACAACGATCGGGAGCCGAATATGCTTAATATGCTTAATATATGCCCTCCAGTTGCAGGGAACAGAAGGGCAGCGTTGCAAATACGCGCTCCCCATTTGTTTGACATTTTGAAGAAGGTAAAGAATGGCTGAACTAATGGCGAAATCTTAGTCATTCAATAATTTAGATTTTATTGAATATTCCCCTTCTTTCCTCCGACATTTCAGTCTTGCTAATTAGGACAAATAAGAAGGGGCCTGCTGTTAGCAAGGATAATAACTGGCGAGGTTCCATTTATTAAGTCGCTTTCCGTGGGTGTAGAATTGATCTGTGGCTGTGACTGGCATGCTTTCCAGACCTGCAGCAACTTCGAGAAGTCATTACAGGGCTGCAGAAGGGCCCTCGTTAGGGATTTCTATCGATAAAGTCTCCAGGTTTACGTTGGGGGGCTCGTGGAATCCCCTTCCCAACCCGTGTCACCTCCTCCACCCTCCCAGCCCCGCGCGGGGGGGACCCCGCGGAGGTCGCTCCGTGTCCCTCTTGTCCCCTCCCTCCGCCTCGCCCTTCCCCTCCTCCCTTCCCCACGGAAAGGGCGGGGGCGTCCGTGGAAATCCGCTGGAGGTGGATTTGCGGAGCGAGATGTTATCCAGGGGCACCCATTTTTGAGTGGAATAAGGAGGTGCCTCCTCTGGAGATGGTTTTGTGGAGCGAGATGTTATCCAGGGGCACCCATTTTTCCGTGGAATAAGGAGCTGCCTCCTCTGGAGGTGGATTTGCAGAGCGAGATGTTATCCATGGGCACCCATTTTTCCGTGGAATAAGGAGGTGCCTCCTCTGGAGAGGTGGGGGGGACGCGCAGACCCAAAATCCAGCCCGGGGCAGCCCCGGGCAGGGCCGAGCGGCCCCCGCTGCTGCGACCCCCGGCCCGGGGCCGGTCCCGACCCTCCGATTCCCCGCTCCTGCCGTTCCCAGCGAGGCTGGATTGGGGCTGGGAGGGGGAGGAGGCGAGAGGGGAACTCTGTAAAGCGCTGGAACAAATGGCGCTTTGATAGACAACGTCTGGCAGTGCCAACGCCGCCGCCGAGTATGTTCCAGAAGCTGGAGATATTAAATAAACTTAAAGATAATGAATAGCCTTCTGTGGTCCTTGGGCTGGGCCTGGGCTTTCCTTCCCCCCACAACTCGTGACTGGGGGACTCTGAGATGGGAGAGGAGTCGCTGAGAGAGGGCAGGGCCATGGGGGGGTGGGCGATGGCTCCCAGGCGGGGATGAGGAGGCGACTCTTCTGCGCCAGCCCCGCACCAGGCGCTGCCTTTCCTTTATGGGGAGGTGTTAAATAACGTTCGCTCGCGTATTTTAATTGCGATCCGCTTCGATTTTCGATAGAAACCCGCACCTTCCCGGAGGTTTGAACCGTCTGCTCGTTCGGCGAGGAAAGAGCCTGGCGAGGTTATTGAGAACGAAAAGGTGGCCGTAAAATCAACCTCCCCCTTTGTTAGAGATAATCCAGATCTTCGAACAGCAATTTCGAAAACATCTGCCGAGGCCTCGCTTTCTTTTATTTCTTTTTGTTTCTTTTCACAGCCCGGGGAGTGCAAAGCGAGCCCAGCTCTGGCGCTTTGAATCCCAAACCAAATATCTGGAGTTTCCCAGATCCCAGGCTTTCCCCGGGCAGGGGGGATGACGCTACCCACGCATGGAGCCCAGCAGACTCTGAGGTCCCCGGGGGTCCCCGCGGCAGCAGGAGCCGGACGGGCGGCCTGGGCTTTCCTTAACCCTAAAGAAAGGGGTTGGTGGCAGCGTCTCTCCCTGGGGATGCTCCGTCCTCCCCCGGCACATTTTAAGGTGTTTTCCCCCTCCCCTGGGCTCCCCTTTCCGCGTTGCTTTCGCACAAACCCCTCCCGAAGGCGTCCCAAATTTCGGGCCGCGGCTGAGGAAACACCGATGACTTGGCAAAGACGTAAATGTGATTTATTTTGGGTGGCGCCGCGTTTGATTCCCCCGCGCCGACCCCTTTTCATTCAGGAGCCTCCCCACCCCCCTCGCCTCGGCCTCCCTGATGTATGAGGTTTGGATTTAAAATTATATGTCGAGACAAGGGTTTTAAAAGGATCCACGAGCCGGGAGAGCAGCACAAACGGCCCTGGAAGGAGATCGAGGATTTATAAAGACCGAGGGAGTCCTGGTTTGTGCTGCTGGAAAAGAGAGGAGGAAAAAAAAAAAGGCCTCTTTCAGGCCCATCTCTTTCCTCTCGTTCTTCTCTAACGTTTATTTTTCGACTAAAATGCAGATTCTCACCACCCTCCCAGCGCGGATTTTTAGCGTTTCCTCAAAATCCTCCTTTTCGCCCTATTTTTATATTTTTTTTTTTGTAATCCAGGACGTTTCAAAGCCAAGAAACTGCGATGTGGCCCGGCTGGATTCTCTGCTGCAAGAGAAAGGGAGGAGGAGGAGGAGGAGGAGTGGGATGAAGGCCGGGATGCGGGAGAAAGGGAATGGCCGCGGCCCCCAGCCCCGGCCGCGGAATGTGCGTGGGCTCCGCGCCTCTCCCAGCGCTGCCTTTGTGTCCCTTTCCATCCCTTTATCCCGAGATTTCCTCAGGGGAGGGATTTTTTATTTTTTTTTTCGATCGCAAAAATAGAAGCGCGAACGTTAAAATTGGACAGAAACGTCCTGCTTTGATTTAGTAGAAATTAAAAACGAAATAAATAAAAACCGAGCTCGAGGAAAAGGCGAACGGAGCCGAAGGCAGCGAATATTTCCGACTCCCGAAGCCTCTTGCAGTGTTAGTTGGGAGCAATTTCTTTTGTTTCCTCTCAATGCACACGAGGAGATTATTAGAACCTCATTACTGCGAAGCAGGAAAGAGGAAGGCGAATGATTTAGGGGGGAAAAATGGCACATTTTCGAACGAAATGTGTAGCAACACACGATTCTTGGTTTTATAAAGACATTTATTTACTCTATGAAAATAATATACAATAAATAATTTGCCCTTTGCTATTAAAGGATTTGAATAAATAGTCTACGTCTAAAACTTAAAAATAGGAAGGAAAATTCCCCTGATTTTTCATTTAAATTTAGTTTCATTAAGAAATCTAAAAGTCTCGTTCTGATTCCTGAGAAAGTCACTTGAAGGATTGACAAATATTTCTCTCTTGAGGGCTGACATCTCTGATGTGCGTGAGAAACTACCGGCTGCTTTCCTTCAAATAAATAAAGCAAAAATAAAACTATCCTTAAATACCTGCATTTAGCAAAACTCGGGCTGTTCTTTCGCGTGAGCCTTCTAGAATAAATATCGGGAGGGGGGGAGGCGATTTGGGTCTCACGGAGCTTTAAAAAGAAAGTGTTTGGGGGCCGGGATGGGGCTGATCGAATGAGAAATGGCTTGAGGTTTATTTTGGGGGTGCCCCCCTTCTCTCAGAGGCGGGTGGGGGGATCTGGCAGTGGCTCGGTGGGGGTTGGTGCCCCTGGAAGGGGGAGAAACGTCCAGAAACGAGGTGTTGGGGGGGGGGAGAGAGAGAGGGGAGGCCTCGCTATTGGAAATTTAAATGTTGCAGATCTATGGTACAAAGTGCGCTCGTAAAAAAGTCCAGGTCTTCCTCGGAGAAGTGGACGGGGCTCTCCAGGGAGCCGTGGAGGGTCGGGGAAAGCCCCTCGGCGAGCTGCAGGCACGACTCTGCCGAGAAGATGCTCAGCTCGGGCAGCAAAGGCGACTCGCGGCTCCCGGGGCAGGCGCTGGGCTCGCCCGCGGCCACCGGCTCCGAGCTGCCGGGGGTCCCCCGGGGCTCCGGGAGCGGCCCCAAGCCGGGGCTCCCCTCCGCCTCCTCGGCGGGGTCGCTGCCCTCGTCCAGGCCGGGGTAGGCGAGGTCCCCGTCGGGGGGTTCTTTGTACTGCGTCTGCCTCTTGTGCTTCATCCGCCGGTTCTGGAACCACACCTTGACCTGGCGCTCGGTGAGGTCGAGCAGAGCCGCGATCTCCACCCGCCGGGGCCTGCAGAGGTATTTGTTGAAGTGGAACTCCTTCTCCAGCTCCAGCAGCTGCGTGTTGGTGTAGGCGGTGCGGAGCCTCCTGGAGCCGCCGCTCTCTCCCAGCCCCTGCGCGTCTTAAACACACACAAAAAGCGCCCGTGGCGAGGAGCCGGGGGGGCGAGCGGAGGGGCTGGAGCCGTCCCCTCCCTGCCCGGCACTACCGAGCGCGGGGTGGGTGCGGGGGGAGCCGCTACGTGAGGAAATAAATGTTTAATTAAACTCTTCCCGCCGCGGAAGAGGATTGGAAATCACGCACATCCCCCCTCTCCCTTTGCCTCAGTGAGGAGAAGGGATTTTGTTTCCCGGCCTCTCCTTTCAGAGACCTTCCTCCCTCGCCGATAAGTGGAATTTCCAACCATTCCTTCTTTTTTTTTAACCATTCCTTCCTTTTTTTTTTTTTCTTTCCCCCTCCTTTCCCGGTAGTTCGGGACGGACGCTTTGATTTCATTATTCCTGTTTTATCCGGCCAATGAGCTCCGGTGTCCGCCCTTCTCCTGCCCGAGCCTTTACCTGAACGGCGCCGTTAAAACACCGAAACGCTGAATTGTGTCTCAAACACTTTATCCCCAGGGAAAGAGGGTCCCTGGCCGGGGTCACCGAGCTCCCTGGCCGAGGAGCGCCTCGGAGAGAAGCTGCTCCTTTATTTTGGGAGCTCGGGGAGAATTTGGGGGTGTATTTAATGATTTAATTTCGCAGTTAACCCTGAGAGCCCGCGCCTCGCTTTTTCCCCTCCCCATCGTGCCGGTAGCAGTCCCCGCGTTACCCACCCGTCTTTCTTTCCCCCCCTCGCACTTCTTTAAGGGTTTTTTTCTCTTCTTTTCCCTTTTTTTTTTCTTTTTTTTTTTTTCCCCTTGGGCTGTAAAAAAACCGCGGGGGTGGGAGAGAAAGTCAAGCAAAAAAGGAGCTGCGGTTCGGCTGCGAAATCCCCTCGCTGGAACGCGGCTCCCCCGGACCCTTCTCTCTCCCTCTTGGCTTGAAGTTACAGCAATTTGCCCTTTTATTTGCGGGGGGGAGGAGGCAGGAGAACCCCCTCCCCGTGCCCCCCAGGCCGGGTACCCCGCTCGGTGGATTTTATTGCGTGACACAGTTTCGGGGGAGGTGCGGGGCAAAGCCTGTTCGGGGAGGGGGGTCAGGGTAGGGGTTTTTTGGGGGGTAAGGGGCGGGAGGATTTTTTTATTATTCGGATCCTCTCGGATTTCAGCGAATACCCCCTCACCCCCTCATTATACGAACCTGCAGGAGATCCTGCGCCAGGGACCGGCAGCGAGGAGGAAGATGACGGGGGGGAAGAAGAGGAAGAAGAGGATGGAGCCTGGGAGGCTTTCTTGGACGATTTCTTCTCCTTCATCCAAGGGAATTCCGCTGCCAAGGGGCCGGGCTGTGCCGGAGCCGGGGGCTGGGGCTGGAGCAGGCCATGAGATGCTCTTTTTTGGCTCCTCGGTCTCGCCTGGCTGCTGGAACAAGGATTCAGGCTGAGGACGGCTTGCTCAAAAGGAGGAGGAATTAATGTCGAGTCCTTGATTGATGAAGTTTGAAATGTCTCCAGGACAGCGGGAAGAGACGTCAGGCACTCTGCGAGCGAAGGCTGGCTATTTATAAACCCGATCTCCCTCTCAAATTCAAAATTCATGGCTTTTCCAGGGCCCAGGGTTTCAAAAGCGGGAGGGGGGGAGAGGGAGGAGGAAGAGGAGGGGGAGAGGGAGAGAAAACTGAGGGCCTCGGTTTTTTTATGGCGGTGCTGACGGTGGTTCTCGGGCTTTTTATAATTGTTATATTGCTGATAATACGGGCGGAGGGGGAACCTTGCTCTGCTAAACTCGAGACTGGGGCGAAAATTGCAGCCAATTCCTGGTCACGTGGCGAGCCCCGGCCAATGGCGGGCGGGGCCCGGTGGCAAACACAGAGCGTTATTTTCTTTAATTGATTTGAAAAAAGGAGAAAAAAAGCCAGAGAAGAAACCCCCGAAAAGCCACGACCGCGCACCAGCACCTCGGGGCTGCCAGGCTGCCTTGGGTGGCCACTGCCTGCCCTGTCTGTGCTGCCTGTGCTGCCTGCCCTGCCTGCCCTGCGTGCGCTTCCTTCTCTGCCTCTGCTTCCTGCCCTGCCTGCCCTGCCTGTGCTTCCTTCCCTGCCTGTGCTTCCTGCCCTGCCTGTCCTGCCTTCCCTGCCTGTCTTTCCTGCCCTGCTTTCCCTGCTTTCCCTGCCTTCCCTGCCTGTGCTGCCTGCACTGCCTGTCCTGCCTGTCCTTCCTGTCCTGCCTTCCCTGCCTGTCCTTCCTGCCTTGCCTCTCCTGCCTGTCCTTCCCGCCCTACCTTTCCTGCCTGTCCTTCCCACTCTACCTTCCCTGCCTGTCCTTCCCACTCTGCCTTCCCTGCCTGTCCTTCCTGCCCTGCCTGGTGCTGCCTGTCCTTCCCGCCCCACCTTCCCTGCCTGTCCTTCCTGCCTGGCGCTGCCTGCTCCTCCTGCCCTGCCTGCAGCAGGTCCCTCCAGCCTCTGAGTTCCCCGGAGTTTGTACCCCGGGGTGGGGGAACCCTGGAAAAGGGGCTTTTTCCCCCCGGGAAGCCCAGTTGGATCTCGGCTCTGGCAGCCACTGCTGGGGGATGTTTCCATCCCATCCAGATACTGTGAAACTCGGAAAACTGAAGCCAATGGGAGGGTTTGATCCAGAGATTTGTGTCCGAGCCTGGATATGAGCACTTAGGAAATCAAGTGAGCTTTTAAGCCAAGGATGGTTAGAGCAGCCCGATTTCCCAGGTTAAATTACTTTTAAAGAACAACATAATCCTTCTGCTTCCCAAGCCAGACTTAATGGACCTTTTGCGCTTTCCTTAAAGGCCAAACTGTGTTTTAAGGTCACAGATATCTTTGAAATCACATTTCTTCCTTCCCATCTATTTTCCCCCCCTCCCCTCCCGTCTCCAATAAACAGTGCCACTTCCAGAGTTTACAAAATAAATAAATAAAATGAAAAGTCATTTCCCAGGAAGATTTCCCTCCCCCCCTCCTCTTTAAAGTGCCCGGGAACACAACCCGAAAATAAGAGAGGAACGATCAATCTTTTCCTCCAAAGACTTTTGACAGCTCGGCCTGACTCGCTCAGCAAAGAAATTTGGCTTTCGCCGAGGAGTTATTTAACCCAAAAAAGATTATTATAAAGTTTAATCCAAACGCAGAAAGTAAAAATTTCGGGAGGGAGAGCAAATTGAAGCTGTTCTGGTGCCGAACGGGAAAGGGGCTGGTTTGGAGTTCGTTTATTCGAGCTCCATTTCTCCCATTTTGCTGCATTCACTCGGGGAGAAACCTCCTGGAAACTTTTGTCACTTCAAGCATCCGTGTGGGTGGTGAGGGTTTGTGAGACACAGAATAAATCTAAAGCTGCAGCTGAAGCCGAGGCCGAAGCACAGAGTTTAGCAAAGAGGTAAAGAAAATAATAATAATAATAATAATGATAATTTTAAAAATTACGAACCAGCTCGATTAAGGGGAGATTTTCCTGAAATGTTTTGTGTTGTGAAGGCGCTTATCAAAATCACCACAAATCTGCTCAATCTCTCGGCAGATCAATGGAAAAAGAATAGTTGGGTTGCCCAACATTTTTTCTTCTTTGGAATAAAGTGGAATTTTGGGTGTCTCATGAGGCTGAAAGTCCTTCCTTTTCGAGGGGTCACTGAGGAGCTGGGCTGAAGTGGAAGAGTTTGGGATGCAAAAGGAAAATCCCTCCAGCTGCTCCCAACAGTTGTCTCTGCTTTTTGCTCACACCGAGTTGCGAGAAAAAAAAATAAAAAGGGGAGGAAAAAAAAAAAAGAAAGAAGAGAGAGCGAAAAAAAAATAAAAGCAAAAAGAACCTCTCGGGGAAAGAGGGAATTTTTTTCCCACGCATCACAAGGAGGCACAAGGGAAGGAAAAAAAAATCTCCCTACTCAAGGGGAAAGGCGTCACATCCCAGGAATAAATTCACGGGGTTAGTGAACGATGGAGAAACGCAAGAATTGTGAGACAAACCCGAGCCTGAGGATTTAATGCAGTGGCACAAATGAAACCGGGGCTGTGAGGAGTTGTAGGGGACGGAGCCCGCGGGGGCGTCGCGCCCGGAGCCCCGGAATTGGCTTTTTTTGTTGTTTTTTTTTCCTTTTTCCCCGGTTTTAACCAATTCCTGGGAATCCCCGCCACCAACCCGGCAACATGGCGACGGGAAAAACACATTCCAGGGGGGCGGGAGGGGGGGAAGCGACGCCAACCCCTTGTTCTTTGAGGCGATTCCCAATCGGAGCCTTGCAACGCTTTTATGCGTTTAAATTATAGTAACCCCGGCTGGTAAATTGTTCCTCGCATGGACGGGCAGAACCCAAGCCCGGGCCCGGCGAGAAAAACAAGCCCTGTCTCTCCGCGCTCCCGTTATTTATTATTGCGGGAAGGTTGTAATTATTAACCTGGAACTTCATTTATTAGGAGGGAGCGGGAAGAACGGGATCATCCCTCATGGGATCCTCTCCCCGCTGCACCTTTTTACACCCGGGGGTTTATCCAGACACCCCTGGCTGGGCACGCAGGTGTCTAAAACACACACACACACACACGATGTTTCCACAGCCCATCTCTAATTTTTGTGCCTTTTGCAGCCTTTTCACCCTTTTCACCCCCTCTCCTCCCCCTCCTCCTCCTCAGCCCCAGGAACGGAGCGTTTGGAGCCTGACAAGCACTTCGCCTCTCTTGCAGGACCATAAAACTTTTATTGCTCCTCGCCGCTTTAATATAAGTTTTCTTAGGGCTTTGGAGCATAAAAGGCAAATTATTCACGGTATTATCCCATCTGCTTTCGCTGCTGGCAGAGGGTCGCTCTCCCTTTTGCTCTCACTGGTAATGTAACATTTGGCGGCGGCTTTTCCCCCCCTTTTAATCACAATTTTGGATGCGTGTGGGGTGTGTGGGGTGTGTGGGGTGCGTGTGTTTGCCTGTGCACATGTGTGTGCTTGTGTGTACACGCGTGTGCATCACACACCCTCGCCCTTTTATTAATAATTAAATAGTACATTAATTCATTAATTCATTAAGAGATTTAATTTCTCTTCATTTCCGAGGTCCCGCGTGGAAAGTCTGGGCTTTTTTTCTTATTTATTTCTCCCCATTTTTTCTCTCTTTTCTTTTTCCCCCCTCTTTTTTTTTTTTTTTTTTTTTTTTTTTGGGATTAATCCTTTTCCTTTGTTTTCATTCGCGGCCCAATGGAAGCCCGGCCCCGGCGCCACGTGATTCCCTCTTTGTGGCCGCGCAGGGGGCGCGGAGGGGGCCCCAATTCCCAGGATTTCACCCCAAACCTGGGCCGCCGAGCCCAATCCCCGACCCTGCGCTCAATCCGCCCCTTCCTCGCCTTCCCTTCGCTATTTTTTCACACACAATCAATCTATTTTTTTTTTTACCTCTCAATCCGACTGATAGGACGAGATAAAAATTGATAACAGAAAGTTTATTCAAGAATTGTTCGACAGACAACCCTTTAAGCGAGGAAATAAAATAACTACTGTAAGAACAAAGAAAGATCTCCAAAGAGGAGGGGTGAGGTGGGAGGGAGGGATTAGCTATAGTTCTTCTAATTCAGGACTATACAATTACAGTCTGGTTCTGCTCTCATGCCTCCAGTAGAACTAATTACATTATTCATAAGTACGAAGGTAACATAAAACTACTGGTCTCTCTAAATTACAATAACTAAAATAAGCTCGTTGTACAATGACAAGGAAAACACAATGTCCTTTGTAACAAGTAAATACTAAAAAAGTACAATTTGATTCTTTTTTGTTTTTTTTCTTTCCCTCATATAAATACGTAATATCGGGGATAAATAATACAAAAAAAGGGAAAATATTTTAAACTGGCTATAACCAATAAATATATATGAATGTTCACCAGAACACACACCTATTGAAGGGCCTCTCGACTGAGGTGGACGAAAGCCCTTCAAAGTTGTTTTAATACCCATTATATGTAAACTCTAAGTGCAACAAAGATGTCCAGACAAGAAAGCATTAGCAAATACGAGTGATCCATTCACTTCTGCTTCGATTGGAGGACATTCCATGTGTTCAAATATACCCTGTTTTCACGTAAGGTCAAAGAGAGAAGAGGAGGAAAGAAGCGTAGGACTTCTAAGTCTTAAGATTGCTTTTCTGTCAACGAACCCCTAAGAAAAAAATAACCCCCCCCAAAAACTACAAACTTCACGTCATCAGAGGCAAAGGCGGGGAAATATTCAGACCTGTCAACTCTTTCTTCCTCTCTTTGGGCTGCTCTCATTGTTGGGAGGGGGTTTAGGCATCTCAAAAACTTATTTCCTGAACCTTTTGTGATTCTTAGACCTCTTTTATTCTAATTTTTTTCTCTTTTTTTAGTGTTATTATTATTATTTTTGAGAGGGGAAGCAGGGACTGGAGGGGAAGAGCGTGGATCCCACGCGTTGGCAGGTGTGGATATTTGCAGTTTCTGTGGGGGGCCAGTGGGAAGTTACTGGGTGAAAAAAGGACTCCCTTCCTCTCTGGGGAGGAAAGCACAGGTTGATCTCGAGGAGGAGCCAGAGGAGTGGGAAGTTCCCTTGTGAATCTCTTCTAACTGTGTGCACGGCTGTGTGGATGCAGAGACACCAACTCTGAAGGTTTGGCTGGTTGACTCTTCTCCTCTCCAGTTGTCCAAGAACTGTCAGTGGTGATCTGTGCTGGGGTTGGAGCTCAGGGGTGTCACTGCTTCCAATCTGCCACAAAACCACCCCAAACCCATTTCAGAAGCATTTGTGTTGAAACACAGGAGGTATATCTCTTCAGAGAGAGAGAGAGA